TTAAGGACAGTATAACATATTTGCAAACTACAACACCTGGTTCAATGCATTAAATTTTTCACTCTGACTACTTCATTTTGTGTAGAATAGAAATTAGAGCATTCATCTCAGCCCTACCAATTTCATAGCTTTTTTAAGGATAAAACTTAATAATGTATGTTTTCATTATAGGAATAAATAAAATCATTACTTTCATGCTCAACTTAAATATTCTTTTAAGTAAATAAAAATTTAAAACCCCATAAGTTTATTTTCATTGTAAAAGGTATGAAAAATACAGATAAATTGAAAATACTCTTTGAATTCTGTTCTCTGCCTCCTATCTGCCCCAAAACTTTTGGGGGAAAATTACTTGTTAGGATCACCTATTAGTTAATACTTGACCTAACTCTATGGTCAAATATGGCAGCCATTATCTCTATGTGAGTATTTAATATACATGTGAGTAAGCTATATTAAATAAAATTAATATTGTTAGTCACACTAGTCATATTTTAACAAATTTATTGAAGAGAAACCACATATTGCAACTATACTGGGCAGATATCCACCAATAAAGAAACTTTCATATACAACACTGCTCTAGAATTAAGTCCAGGAAGAGAGCATGTGGTAGAAAGAATAATGCTACTGCCATAATATCTATGTCCTAATACTCAGAACCTGAAAAATGCTACCTTACATTACAAAAAATGACTTTGCAGATGTTATTAAGCTATGGAGCTTGAGATGGGAAGATTATCTTCGATTATCTAAAGAGGCCCAATGCAATAAATAACATGGACTCCCTAGAAAGGAAGGCAAGATGTTCAGAGTCAAAAAAAAGAAATTTAATGATGGAAACAGAAATTAGAGTAAGCTCTTTGAAAATGGAGGAAGAGGCCATGAGCCAAAGAATGCAGGTGGCTTCTAGAGGTTGGGGGAAAAAAGCAAGAAAATGAATTCTCCCCTAGAGCCTCCAGAAGGAATGCAGCCTCCTTTTGCCATGACTTTAGGACTCATGACTTTCAGAACTGTACAACACTATGTTTGCTTTGGTTTAAGACCTTATGTTTTTAGTAATTTGTTACATTAGCAACAGAAAACTAATACACATGACAATTGGTATTCCTATTCCTCTCTTAATGGACATTACTTATCTCCAGTTCTTTTTGTTATAAATAAAATGGCAATAAGAGTTTTTAATATGCAGAAGCATATACTAGATTATGAAAAATGAAATACAAGAGAAAGCCAGGGATTTCAGGCCAACAGGGATATGTGCAGTTTATGTTGATGATTTGCTTTCAGTAAAACACAATGAAAATGCCTGATTTGTTGCATTTAAAAATGCTTATATCATGATCAATTTCTAGCTCACAATAAGGTTAGAGAGCTAATTATATGTTTGTGTGTGAACTTGAGGGGGCGGGTAATTAAAACGGCTGTTGTGTGATCAAGAGAAAGACAAAAATGTCTTTGTGAGCCTCAGAAATCAAATGTGACAGGGAGCAGTTTTCTTCACAGACACAAGTCCCTCCGTTTTTAATCTTCATTTGAAGAGTGCTGTTGGGAAATAATGTGCCTTCAAGACCCCAACAATTTTCACTCCTGGTACTTCAGTGGAATTGCTGTCTGTTTCAAGAGAATTATTGCTTACTGATCATGGCCTGGCAAACAATCACTTATAGTTTAATGCCTATACAGATCCTCAGCACCAATCTAAATTTGTTCAAAACAATTTGTGTAACTGCAATAGCCAGTGGTAAATTGTTCAGAACAAATTATTTCTCTTTACCCTATTATTTTAATTTTTCCCTTTAAAAATCTCCTCCTTCCCCTTGACAGAAAGAAAACTCATTAGGATTCTAATTAAATCTGTGTCTCCTGATTTGAAAATCTGAATCAAAATGGTCTCTGCTTTTATTTTCACATCATTTATGATTTCTTGGTTCACACTGGTCATTGCAGGTACTTCATTTTTTTTTTTTTGAGATGGATGGAAACTGGAGAGGTTTGAGGGAAAGAGTGACATAATCTAAGCTAAATATGGCTCTTCTGTTGAAGATAAATAGGAACCAGCTGAGACACAGTTAGGAGAGTGTTGCAATAATCCAAGCATCCAAGTGAGAAACAATTGTGGCTTGGACAAGGGTGGTAGTAGATATAGCGCAATGTGACCAGATAGGTTAAGTAAAGCTGACATGTTTGCTAAAAGATTGAATGTGGGAGTGAGAAGCAGGAAGCCCAAGCTGATTCCAAGATTTCTGACTTGAGAAATTTAAAGGACAGAAGTACCGTAAGTTCTGATAGGAATGATGGTGGAAGGAACAGTTTTGGGGTTTAGGGGAAGATCAAAGGCTAATTTTGGTCATATTACATTTAAGATGATATTTAGTTTCAGTCCAGTAAAGAACTGAGTATGCATGTCTGAAATTTAGGAAAGAAAATAATCAGGAGATGTAAATTTTGATCTTATAGCCATTTTGGAGGATATCACATAAAGAATAAAAGCAGAGAACAAATGTGAAGAATGAGTCAAGGAGTACGCAAAGATTTAGATTTCAAGGAGACAAGAAGAAACCAGAAAATGAGACCTACGGGCCAAAAGATAGGAAGAAAACACAGAGAGAATCACATCCAATTAAATAAAATGTTTGAAGGAAAGAATCACAAAATCAAATAAATACCCCTGATTGGTCAAATAAACTGAAGTCAGGGAACTGACTATGATGGTCTGGATATCAAGTGTCCCAAAAAGCTTCTGTGTTAATTCAAAAACACTCAGAGGTGAAATGATTGGAATATGAGAGATGTAACCTAATCAGTCCTTTCAAGTTTGAATGAACTAACTGGGTGGAAACTGTAGGCAAGTGGGAAATGGCTGGAGGATGTGGGTCACTGGGGGGCTGAAAGGGTTCATCTTCCCTGTGGTCCCTTCCATTCTCTCTCTCTGCTTCCTTGCTTTCACAAGGTAAGCAGCTTTACTTTGACACATATTTCCACCATAACATTCTACTTCACCTTAGCCCAGAATAATGCAGTTGGTCAACCATGAATTAAACTAAACCTCTGAAATCATAAGTCCCCAAATTAACTTTACTTCCTCTAAGTTGTTCTTGTTAGGTATATTTGTCACAGCGATGAAAAAGGTAACATACTGACCACTGGATTTTAAAGTGTTATATTATTTGTCATTTTAATCAAACTAGTTTGAGAGAGATGTAAAATGCTCTGATTTCATTGGCTTCAAAAGAGAGTGGGAAAAACATAAGTTTTGATATCAGATTTGAGCAACTGTTTCTAGTTTTTGTGTGTGTGTGTGTAAGGGAAATACTGAACAGAGCCAAGTGTGAGTTTTTAAAAGATTGAAGATATAGCATGTGTGTATGTATGTTGATGGAAAAATTCATCAAAGAAGGACAATTCATGAAGCAGAAGTGATGAGAGAACTGCTAGGGAAACATCCTTAAATAGGGAGAAGGCTTGAATCTAGGGCACAATGGGAGTGGGATGCATTTCGTACATGGGAACAAATGGAGGTTAGGTGAGTAGATGTAGTGAAAACATGCAGAAACTCCTTACAGTTACTTGATTTTTCAGTGAAGCAATGCTATCAACTGAAAATGGGGATGGAGTAGGAAGTGTAGGGAGGTTTGAGGAGAAAATGCATGACACTGTTATTTAAGAGGATGGTTGCACAAAATGCCTTAGAAATATCCAAGGATTTCAGCAATACTTAGAGCTCGTGCCAGTGGACATGAATTTAATTTGAAACAGGACACAGGAGTATGTATGTGGTCTTCTTAATCCATTATTAGTCAGAAAGCCTGCTTAGGCAGGGTTGAGATTTGTCGGGGGAGTATGAGAAAATGAGTGAATGACTAGAGAGTTGGGGAGAAATGTAAGGGAGCATAATGACATACAATCGACTGCCAAAGGGAAGAGAAGGCACAAGGTGGGACTGGGGCATCAGAGGGACAGAGGTATGGGAGCGACAGAAAAGAGAGAGGGCAGTAATCCTAGTGGTATCTAAGAATTGTATTTGGGATTCTGAAGAAAGAAAGTTCAAAAGCTGGAGATGAGGTTGAAGAATAAGATGTTTGCATTGAGAATATAGAAGAGTAAAATATTTGTAACAATAAGGATTAGTGTATGATCACAGGCATGAGAGGCTTATAAGGGGTAAGAATAGTGGAAGGATCATCTGTGTGGATATTTGGAACATAATAATTATTATACCATTACTGTTAGAGGTCATTATAATCATGTTGGTTCTCAAAGGATGGACCTCATACCAGCAATATCAGCGCCTCCTGAATATTTGGTAGAAATACAAATAATTGAGTTACATTCACATGTAGTAATTCAGAAAATCTGGACTTAGGGGACTATGAATGTTTTAACAAGCTCCCTGGGTGGTTCTGACGCAAATGTAACTTTGAGAACTACTTTTAAGGTAGCGCAGAAGATGTAAACTTTAGATTCTTGAAGAAATAAATCAGTATTTAAACTATACCTGAGAATTATTGCAAGGCTCAATGGGAGGGTTCCTAAAATGAAAGGGAGCAGCATTTGTAAAGAAAAACTAGAAACATGAAAAGAGATAAGGCAAGATCAAACAAAATTATGGAAAGGTGAAAACAGTTAACTGTTCATTTTAGATGACCAGGCCTTGCTAGGAAGGGACTGGTTCTTAAGGAATCCTGATAAAAACACCACTTTTTTTCCCCCATTCATCTACTTTTTAGTCCATTGGTACTAAGTTCAGTTTTAGAGGAAAAGGTTGAAGAACAAGTGTAGCTGCCCTGGCATACCAATTAATCTCTTCCTAATTTCTCATCTTTTTTAGGGAACCTAGAAGAAGCCATTTGGATGCAGAACCGATTTCAGCAAGCTCTGCACTTTATTGTCTTTATGGAGCACCCGGGACCCGCCCCCGTGGGCGTTTCCCACCTAACCGCCGGCGCTTCCGGCGGCGGAGCGCGCGTGGCTGACGTCATTGTGGAGCGCCGTGGGCTCTCAGTTGGCGGCGGATTCAAACGGCCGAACGCAGTCTCCGGGACCCAGGCAGCGTTAGAGCGTTGTAGTTCTCCTTACTTCCTCAGTGTTGGTTAGCTTGAACAGACCTCGAGAGGACCTCGGCAGCTGAGGCGGCTGGTGCCCGAGCGGGAGAATGGCGCTTTCGACCACGGTCTCCCAGAGGAAGCAGATCAAGCGGAAGGCTCCCCGAGGCTTTCTCAAGCGCGTCTTCAAACAACGGAAGCCTCACCTTCGTCTGGAGTCGCGTGGAGATTTACTGGTGAGAGTTCATCCTTTCTCAGCTGGGAGTGGGGCCGGGGGAAGTAAGAGAAAATGGCCTCAGCCATAGTTGCTTGCTCCAGGCCGGTGTTTCAGGCATTTCCAGCCTTAACGAGGCAGCTTTGCCCCTGCCGGAACGTCCGTTCTTACTCGTGATGCCTGGTTACACTGGCATTCTCCAGAATATGGATATCTGGAACTTCTTAAAGGAACGCTGTCAGGAACATCAGCTCAAGGAGAAAACTATCCGTTGTCGATGTTTAGGAGTACCATTTGGCATTGTGATTTGCTTCTTTGAGAAGACTATGAATGATATACCCTTGAAATCGTTTGAAATTCAGAATGGGTCATATTTTTTTTGTGTGTAATTATTGTGAGAAGCATTTTTAAGCTCCTTCCCTCTTCTCTGCCTTCTTCGCTCCCTCATTTTTTTTTAATGTTAATCAAACTCATTGCCCTATTTCCTCTATAGTAGGCTGTTTACTAAAGAACTCTGATCCCAAAGGGCACCTAACTGTGAGTTCATTTTTTAGACAATTAATATAATGCTTGTTAGTTCAATTTTTACGCCAGCCCATTAAAGCCTGTTTAACTGACCCATATTACATGAAGCATGATGTTTTCCTAATAAGTAGCCTCAAACAAATCACTGTATGATGTTTCTGCTTGAAGTAAATTTAGTTTCTGTGTTGAATACTTGGAATACATATTCCTCTAGCAGAATGAACACTATTCCTCCAGGCTTAAACCATAGGAAGCACTTCCTGAGGCTTGTCATAAGAACTTTTTGTGAGTAAAGGAGCCATCATAAGTGGACATTTAATTTCCAGAAGATCAAGGTACAGAATTCTGGATAACAAAGGCATACAGCACAGATACTCTTCAGCATGCACTATTCCACCTGTTTTTAAATTTAATTTTTTTTTTTCAACCTCCCCTTTTCTCTCTAGCCTCTCAAAATTCTCCACTGACTTTCCATCTGTTGCCTTCTTTAAGGGAGTCTGTTTTTTTTCTAAACTATTGTAACATTGTCTCCACTTTTCTCTAATTTAGTCTTTAAAGCCTTTGGCAACCTTTCCTCCTGTTTTAGTAATTTTTTTTTTTCTGTTGTGACTAAAAGACTTGACCAGAACAATTTTATGGGAGAAAAAGTTGGCTCCATTCTTTGGGGATCTAGGTGAGGCTGAACATCATAGCAGAAGTGTGTGGAGTAGGGAAGCAGCTCACATGATGATTATCAAGCTGAGAGAGACTCTAGTTTCCAGATGCAAAATATATTCCCCACAGACACTTCCCTAATGACCTGCTGCCTCTAGCCCCACACCCCACCCATCTTCAATCTCTAGTCTATCAGGAGATTTGGTTCAGGCTTTTGGTAACATAATAATTTCTTTTCCAGACCTTCTTGCATTGTCTCATGTGATCTTTTGGGGGACACCTGACATTCAAACCATAACACCCAGCTAGAAAAGTACTACTTCTAATATCTTGTGCCCTCATTTTTGTTCTTTGTTAATATTCTATAAGAAAAGGCAGTACATGCTGTTGTGTTCCATCCCTCCCCTTTGGTGGTAGTAGAGATGGTACAAATGGGCTGAATTAAGATGAAATTGACTTTCAATACAATTTTAGGTGGTTTAGTCTGGATTTTTTACAGGGACTTTGGAATGGTGGGGGGAAAATGTATCTCATCAAGGATATTCAGGAATCTACCAACTGGTGCAGACGGTTTGGAGGAATTTCTCAAGTAGTCAGCTTCTTAATGTCTACTCTTTTCTGCCCCAGAGTAACCATGGACAGATGGGCTCCATGGTGGGGTGGGATAAAGTTGGCATTGGAAGAGAAAAGGGAGTGGAAATTCCAAGCCTAGGCAGTGGTGGGGAAAAGAAAAGTCTTGTGGCCACTAGCTATTCTCAGGTGGTATGCATGTTTTTTGTGGTGTTCATTAAAACAGTTCTCCTTCTCTGTATTGTATATGGCATGCATCAACCTGCTTTCTTCCTTTATGTGTCTCTGCTTACCATTGACACTTCATAATCTTACCCAGCAGGTGTCCCACATTAACTATGAAATGTTATACAATTAAAGCAGTCTGTTTTGATCTCTTTTTCTGAATATGAACATCAATTAAGAATATATATTATACAGTTTAGCTACTGGGACGATTAACACTGTTCTTTAGAAGTTTCATATGCTGATATTGGCTCCTAGTGTAATATGCAGTTCTTGAGAGGAAAAAACATATCTATCACCCTTTATTTTTTTTTTAACAGAAAACTGTCTATTTTTATGTGCTTTTTAACATGATATTTATTTTATTTTACACATACTTATTCTGCCTGAAGATGTCTTCACCCTTCATTTGGCAAACTGTAATTTTTTATATATATATATATAGAGAGAGAGAGAATTTTAATATTTATTTTTTAGTTTTCGGCGTTTGTATGTGGTGCTGGGGATTGAACCTGGGCCACATGCATGCCAGGCGAGCGCGCTACTGCTTGAGCCACATCCCCAGCCCAAACTGTAATTCTTTTAAACTCTAATTCAAATGCTACTTTTTCAGTGAAGCCACCTTAATCTCCTTAAATGGAATCAAATTTAGCTTCCCTTTTATTATTTGCTGTCATACATTTGACTGATTTTTTTTCATGGGTTTTATTTACCCACTAATCTGGAAACTTGAAGTGAGAACTTTTTGAATTCATAGTGTTTAGCACAATGCCTTGAAAATTCCAAGTGCATTGATAATATTGGAAATACATGGTACCTATATTTGGATTGATATAGATTTTAGCAATTTACTCAAAGTTTCTTTTTCTTAACAGTTTTTCTGTACTGGCTTTTTGTTATTTTGTATGTATTATGTGTTACTTGATTATTTAACATCTGTTAAATTTAAATGAATCATTCAGTTTTCTAATGGTTCACTTAATTTTTAGATTTATCATAGAATGCCCTGCAAATATTTGGGGGCTATGGTTTATATAAAATTGAAAAGTGCTGGCTGGGTGTGGTGGTGCACACCTGTAATCCCAGTGGCTTGGGAGGCTAAGGCATAAGCTCAAACCCGGCCTCAGCAAAAGGGAGGTGCTAAGCAACTCAGTGAGACCCTGTCTCTAAATAAAGTACAAAATAGGGCTGAAGATGTGGCTCAGTGATCATTTGCCCCAGAGTTGAATCCCTGGTGGCCCCCCACCCCACCCCCCAAAAAAATATTGAAAAGTGCTACGATAAAGGGAGAAAGAAGTCAGGCTGACCCAGGCTTTTGGTCAATTGAGACTGTAAAGAAATGGAAATATTTTCGTAGGTTGTCTTTTGATTTACCATTACAGCAAGCTGATTTTTTCAAAGTAAATTAATGATGTAAAAGTTTGTCTTTTTAAAATTTGGATACCTAACTAAATTCCTTGAAACTAGTTTTTGTTCTGACTATTTAAAAAATTAAGCTGTAATTCATTTCAGTGACTCAGTTGAATTAACTATTTGATTTCACGGATATAGGTTGCTTTAATTTTTATGTGTGTGTGTGTGTGTGTGTGTGAGTGAGAGAGAGAGAGAGAGAGAGAGAGAGAGAGAGAGATCTAAAAAGGAATGCTGTTTAGCTCGTGGACGTGAAGAGGAAGAGGAAAGTACATGACATCAAGAATACTAGCATGATCTCAATATGGTTTAGTTGGTTTTCTTTTTTTTTTTTCCCCCTTAAAGTTTCTTTTCTTTTTCTCCTTATTTGGGGATATATGGAGGGATCTTTTGGTCGTGTAAGAATAATTTGTTACTTGCCTTGTATTAGGAAGTGGACTGAAGGTCACTTGGGAAACAACATTGATAAGGACAGGAGTAGTTCTTGCACTTATAATACATTGGAGAAGAAAGTTAAGTGTGAAATTAATGTATAATATAGTATGTGTGGTGATAGGAAGTAAGGGTGCAATCATTGATCTGTATAATCTTCCATATTACGGAAGTTGGGCTTTCAGGGCAGTCTACCCACCAAAAGAATTTTTGGAGGTAAGGATTCATTGGAATTCTAAAAGAACTTCAGAAGATTTAGTGTAAAACTGAGAGCTGAGACAAATCAGAGGTGAAACTGGAAAGGCCAGTTCAACTAGAGTGGAGTGTTAAGGGATATAGAATTTACCCTGAGGGCATCTGGAAGCTATTTATTTTTAAAAGTGAAAAATAAGATTAACAGATGAAATTGTGCTGTATTATGGAAGTGTTTGTTTGTTTGGCTTTATACATACTATTTAAATGCTGTACCATGGAGCTATATCCCAAACCCCGTGGAGTATTTTTGCTATAAAAGGAGATGGAATATCTTTGGAAGTTTAAAAAAAAATTAAATTTCATGGTAAAATGTAGAGTTAGAATTGTAGTGTTTTGCCTCAGGGTACTTTGAAAATCCACGAAGACAATGTGTCAAGTACAAGAAAAATATTATCTTCCATAGGTTCTTCATCTTATTAAATTTAAATTTCTAAACTCCTGTTTTCTTCATATACCATTGGAATACTCTTAAACACCTAATAACAATTCAGAGGTGTAACATTATCTAATTGACATTTAGTGAACTCTGAGGAAGTATTTGTGTGCTGTACACAAGATGATGAACATTAAGTATTGTATATGAATTGTTCTAACTGCAGAGATTGTGCATTATGATGAAAATAACAACAGAAGTTATATGTTAAATGTACTATCTTGGGCTGGGGATGTGGCTCAAGCAGTAGCGTGCTCGCCTGGCATGCGTTTGGCCCGGGTTTGATCCTCAGCACCACATACAAACTAAGATGTTGTGTCCTCCGAAAACTAAAAAATATTAAAATTCCCATTCTCTCTCTCTCTCTCTCTCTCTCTCAAAATAAATAAATATACTATCTAGACTACAAATCAGTACAACCACTCTGGAAAGCAGCATGGAGATTCACCAAACTGGGAATGGAACCATCATTTGACCCAGCTATCCCACTCCTGGGTTTATACAGAAAGGACTTAAAAATAACATACTACAGTGACACAGCCACATCATTGTTTATAGCAGCACCATTCAGCACAATAGCCAAACTATGTAACCAGCCTAGATGCACTTCAACAGATGAATGGAAAAAGAAATTGTGGCATATATACGCAATGGAATATTACTCGGCCATAAAGAATAATGACTTTATGACATTTGCTGGTAAATGGATGGATCTGGAGTTTATCATGCTAAGTGAAATAAGCTAATCCCTCAAAACCAAAGGTCAAATGTTTTTGTTGATATGTGGAAGCTAAACCACAAGGGTTGGGGTTTGGAGGAGAATAGAATTTCAGTGGTTTTGACAAGGGGAATGAAGGGAAGGTAAGGGGGATAGGAATAGGAAAGACAATGGGATAAATCTGCTATAAATTTCCTATGTACATATATGAGTATACCACAGTTAATCTCAATATCATATATATTCACAAGACTGGGATTCTAATAGGATATAGTCCATGTTTGTATAAATATATCAGAATAGATTCTATTGTCATGTATATCTAAAAAGAAAAACAAAATAAAAAGGATACTAACTGGATCCAAGTTGCTAATGCCCTCAGGCACCTTGCAGAAGCAAAGAATGGGAAAGGTGTGAACAGTAATATAAAGGAGCATTACATATGATCCTAGAGGGAGGATTGAGATAGGACTTCAGTGCACCCTTTATTCTCTCTTGCTTGAGCTGTATGTATTTTACCTGTTTTCAAGGTGTGTGCATACAGATTGAGTAGCACTTTTTTGGTTTTAGATCTCTATTTTGAGTAAAATTAGTAATGTTAAAGAGCATATTCAGATAGTGAGATTTTATATATATATGCATATATATATATATGCACACACATGTATTTTATATATACAATTTCTAATGTAAGCATTTATATATGTGTATATATAAATATATATGGGACATATATAAGAACATGATATAAATCTGATGATATGTGTTTTGCTTATATGTAAATTTTGTTTCTGTAAGAATATATAAGAAACTGGCTAAGGATGATGTGAAAGAGTGACTTACTTTTGACAGTCTATGCTTTTATATTTTTTATTTTGTACTGTTATTTGGAAATAATTACAGACTCACAAGTAGGTGCAAAAATGGTACAGAGTTCCCATGTATCCTTTACCCAATTTTCTACAATTTCTTACAAAATTAGAACCCTTTAAGCTTTTGAATTTTGTACTGTTTGTATTATCAAATAGTTTTTAAAAAAGGAGGTTTAAAGATTATTAATTGTAGGTATGATTATTTTATGAAATTCACAGATAAGTAGGTTGACTTTGGCATGTAATTTTGTACTTCAACATTCTTTAGAAATTTTAGTTATTAATATATTTTTAAATAAATTTTTGTAATTAAATATCTGGCTAAGATATCTTCTTAGATGTCTCATAGTGAATTAAGAGTTTTGATTTAACATTTTCTGGAAATTTAAATACATTACAAGTTTAAGTTTATTTGAAATCAGAAGTAGGACTCTAAGTTTTGCTATATAGTGATGCTTTTCAAAGATGTTGTCTGTGGCCTTTGGTCTACCTTATATATAGCCTTGTTTCTTATATTACAATGACTACCTCTATGGATGAAATCTAAGATTGAGTTATATTAAACTGGTTTCTATTTAGCTTTGTAGTTACTTGACTTAACTATTAGTAGCAAATAATAGAATAAATTTTGACCAGAAACTTTATATAATCTTGAAATCTGTCAGAAATTTCTTTGCAGTGATTTCAATTTTCCCTATTTTATTTTCCAGCTTTGTTTTGAGGTTTGAATGACTTATGAATGAAACCTCTTATAGAGAAGATTGTATTTTTGAAAGTCATTTTGGAATATTATTTCAAACACATTAGTGTTTGAGCTTAAAAATTGATTTGGATTTTCTCTTTTAAAGGTTCATTTGAACTGTTTACTCTTTGTTCATCGATTAGCAGAAGAGTCCAGGGCAAATGCTTGTGAGAATAAATGTGGAGTCATTAACAAGGATCATGTAGTGGCTGCAGCAAAGGTAAAATCGAATTTCTTTTCTTGAGTTAGAATTAACTTAAATAGGGCTCGGGATGTGGCTCAAGTGGTAGTGCGCTCGCCTGGCATGCGTGCAGCCTGGGTTCGATCCTCAGCACCATATACCAACAAAGATGTTGTATCCACCGAAAACTAAAATAAATAAATAAATAAATAAATAAATAATAAAAAATTTCTCTTTTTAAAAAAAAAAAAAAAAAAGAATTAACTTAAAAAATACCACCTGAGTCATTACCTCTGCCTGATTAAGGTACCTTTTTCAGCTTTGTTGTTTAAGCTGTTATTTGACTTTTCATATTGATGGATTTTTCATACACACACACACACACAGATGTACATAATATGTATATTATGGATTTCTGATGGCAAGTTTAATGGCCACCATTTTATCACTAAATGGGAGAAAGTGAATGTTTGTTTGTTTGTTTGGTAATCTGTGGGCAAACAAACTTTATAACCTTGAAATTTGTCGAAACTTTTTTATTTTAAGTTTCCTGAATTATTTTCTAGCTTTGTTTTGAGATTTGATTGATTTACAAATTAAATCTCTTACAATCAGAGAAGATTGCATTTTATTGGTATACCTTTATAATGTTAGAATATGATGCCTAGGACAGAATTTCCCAGATATGTTCCTGAGAACCTTCTTTCCAAAAGATGTTTATAGATGCCCCACCTCATAAGCTTCTGTTCAGAAAAGTGAATATACCATATCTCCTTTATTAGTCACAGTGTTGTTTATATGTAGAGCTTTTCTATAAGAATCTGCAAGAAACTGGTCACTGTAGTTGATGGGATGGTGTAGAAGAGAGAATTAGTTTTGACAGATTACCTTTTTGTTGACTTTTTATAGATTTTTATTTTGAAATAATTGTAGACTAACAATGTGCAAAAATAGTTTAGTGCTCCATGTACCCTTTACCCATTTCCCACAAATGCCAACATCTTATATAACTATAGTTCTATAAAGTTATGAAAGGTTATGAGAAATGTACCAATATAAAACTTGCTGAACTCTGTTCAACTTGCATTTTATAAATTTATTTGAGTACATATAAATATTTAGCATTTTGTAAGTTCACTTGAGTACATGATGCTTTCTTTTCTGCTGTCTGTATTAGTATAATTGCTGGTCTAGATTGTAGACCTATTTGAGGGCCTCTTTGGAAGCCTTGGAGCGTGCATGATCTGTCAATTTTTAAAGAGGCTTTTTATGGGGCTGGGGATGTGGCTCGAGCAGTAGCGCGCTTGCCTGGCATGCATGGGGTGCTGGGTTTGATCCTCAGCACCACATAAAAGTAAAATAAAGATGTTGTGTCCACCGAAAACTAAAACATAAATATTAAAAAAAAATTCTCTCTCTCCAAAAAAAAAATAAATAAATAAAAAGAGGCTTTTTATGTTCTCTTGCTATTACAAACATTCCACTGTTAAGAGTCACAATAAACTTTTCCCCTCTGAAAGGAAAGCAAGAACTCAGAGCTTAAAGATGTGCATGTTTAAATTTAGGTTTGTTTTTATTAATAAACTATATAAGTGTACCTAGCCAAAACAGTATCCAAGTTCTTTTTTTTTCTTTTCTTTTTTTTAAGTTGGGAGACCAGTAAAGATCTTATTTTGTCTTATTTCTGTCACAGTGAAGTGTTTTGAAAATTGTCTACTTACTAGGCTGTTCAATAGAAGATGATCGGTCTTGGTCTCCAACTGATATAATTCTAACCCAGATGTGAGAAATTTTACTTGGTTAGAGGATTTGTGCTACTTTATTGTTGTGAAATACCTGATTTGTAATAGCTTTTTGAGGTTTAGAGCATTCTCTATATCCTTCTATCACCAATTTCTAAAAACCTCAAGTTTGAGAACATTAATCTGTATCCTTTTACAAGACAATTGAAGATATTAACAGCTAGAGGTAATTAGTAAGACCAAGTTTTGAGGATGTAAACATGTTTTACATTCAATGAGAGAAGTAGACTAGTTTAGAGGAATTTAAGATTATTATAAGAAAAATATTCCCTAATTACCTTCTGAACTGGCTTTTAAAAGTGAGAAAAAGACTTGTATATTGCTCACAAAGGGCTATGAGGAATTATGTTTTGTTTTCTGTAGGTATAATATGAATTTTCATTTTTTTCCCTTCCATAGGTAATTCTAAAGAAGAGCAGAGGTTAAAAGTCAAGGAACGTGTTCTTGAAAATTACATGATATGCTGTTTTAGGTGGTAACAAGTCATTAACATATTTTTTATGTATGGATTTATTCTTGGGTTATTAAAATATTGGCTAGATGGGGAATATCTGTTTTTTTGCTGGCATTGAAATATCTCAAACACAGAGGACTATTTTACATTTTTTAAAAATCTATTTTAAGAGAACCCTAGTTCTTTTTACTTGTTTTGTTCTTATAAATGTTTTAACTATCAAACATGAAATCTGACTGTTTTAAGTGGCTTGAAGAGATGCACTTCATACAATTAAGTTTATATATTTAGATTTAACCACAACTGTGCAACAAATTTAATTTCTACAGAAGGACAATATGGAGTCAGATCTAGGTACATTTTAAATGTGTTTTTCCCCCCAGTGCTTTCACAAAGCAATACAGTCTACTTTTTTGTTATGTCAATAGTAACAATATAATTATCTGAAAGATTGTAAACATCACTTGGGTTTTTTCAAAACACATCTCCTTCTCCAAACCAAAAATAGAAATTCTGGATCAAATTGAGTTATTTTCTTCAAATTGTGTGGATTTAGTAGATGGGATATTTCCTCCTCTAAAATCATTTAGAAGTTTATTGCATATCATCCAATAGTGGTTATTATTATTTAACTTTTTGAGCTCATTATAGATTCCAACTTGAAGCTACAAAGGTGTAGTACAAAGAGGACCCATGTATTCTATACCCAGTTTTCCCAATGGTTATGTCTTACATACTGACAGTATATCACAACCAGGAATTTTTTTTACAAGTAGTGTGTTTATAATTCTACACCATTTTATCATGTGTAGATTCATATAACTACTACCATAATCAATATATAGAACTATGTCATTACCACAAAATCTTCCTGATGCTGTTCTTTTATAGTTACACCTGGCCCACCATGTCTTCCACCCTGGCAAACATCCCTAACTCCTGGCAAGTACTAACTGTTCTTCATCTCTGCAATTTTGTAATTTTGTGTCATATAAATGAAATTACATAAGAGATGATCTTTGGAGAGTTTTTTTTTTTTTTTTTTTTTAAACTCAGTATAGTGATTCATTCATTGAAGTTGTCACATTTTGGTAGTTCCTCTGTGTTCCCAAGCGATTTTTCATGGTGTGAGTATATCACAGTTTAACTGTTTACTTATTGATCGGTATTCCGTTTTTTTTCCCCCCAGTTTTGGGCTATTAAAAATAAAATTGTTATGAACAATTGTACAGTTTTTATACATGTATCAATTTTCATGTCTCTGGGATAAATGCCTGGCAATTTGATTGCTGGGTCAAATGGTAAATATATGTTTAACTTTTAGAAAAGAAATCACCAAACTATTTAGAATGGCTGTATCATTTTATATTTCTATTAATAGTATATAGAAGATCACTGTCTTTAAGTTCTCATAAACATTTACTATTGTTAATTTTTTAAATTTTAGTTATTCTTACAATTTTAATTTGCAGTTTTGTAATGGCTTATACTCGTTTTAGTTGTGCTGCTGAAACAAAGTAGTATAAAGTGAGCAGCTTATAAACAACAAATTTACTTCTCAGTTCTCATTGTTGGAAGTCTGAGATCAGTGTGTCACCATGCCTAAATTAACACTTGTGTTCTGGTTTTCTTAGAGTTTTGAAATATTTTGAAAAGTTCTCAACATAAAGTTGCTTCTTCATTAGTTTTTGTTTAGATGAGATGCCCCCCACTGGCCAAAGCTCCTGTTAATGCAGGAATATGCCGAGGTCAAATGTTTAAATTATGAGAGCTGTAAACTGATCAGTCCATCCTAGTTTCAGTGGATTGTTAATTGGGTGGAAGAAGTGTGTGTGTGGATGCTTTGAAAGGGTTGTTCTTGCTGTGGCCCCTTCTTCCCCCATTACCCCCCTCTCTCTCTCCCTGCTTCCTGATCCTGCCATGAGCTGGGTAGCTTTCTCCCACACAAACCTTCCCCCATGATGTGCTACCTCACCTTGGGCCCAGATCAGTGTAATCAGCTATCTATGGACTGAGATCTCTGAAACTATGAACCCCAAATAAACTTTTCCTACTCTTTTAAGTTTTTCTTGTGGAGTATTTTGTTCACAATGACAAAAAAAAAAAAAGTTGAATAAAACAGTTTTGTTTAATGATGGTATATATTAAGCAAAAAATTTCACTTTGACATTGGAACTAAGACATCCTGTTAGAAAATTGCTACTCTTGGGATGTACTTATAAAATGATTTCCCAGAAAGTGACATTGGGAAGATGGTGGACTAGGAGGTCTCAGTGCTCATGTGTTCCCCGTAGAATAAAACATAACAAACAATATTGTTGAAATTATCTTTGGAAAAACTTCATTGTATAATGAGGAACTTTCAGCAACTCCTAGCACAAAAAAGGATGGCAAAAATAAATAGTATAGAAGATCTTATGTATGTTCTAACATTCACTAACCCAGGATAACTTGTCACCAAGAAGAATCTCTTCTACATGACCTCTCTCTGCAAGGCAAAACAATAGCAGGAAGGTCTGGCAGCACTTGTCATTGCAGTGAACATCTGCCACTTTTACCACCAAGGACTTTGAAGTCTGCCAATGATGATCCCAGCTATTGCACCTGCTCACAACACACACTACTATGCAACTTTGCCCTCAACCTTTTAGGAATAGCCATTGATGAGCCACCCAAGGGCCTGACTTGCTGTGCTTCTGTCTCCATGCAGTTGTACGTATATCCTGGAGCTCAGGTTGCATCCTGCATGCTTATACTCAGAACCCTAGCTCTGAGGCCATTTTGTGGAAGGCTGTATCTCTGATACCGATGCCACTGCTACAGAAAGCATGCCTGTGTCCCAGTGTCCTAGTCATTGCATACACCCTTTGCAGTTTACTTAAAATACCTGATATAACAAACATTGTGTAAATAGCTATGCTGGATTGTTTAGGGAGTAAGGTTAAGAAAAAAATTCACATGTTAAGTACATGTGCAATTTTTTAAGAAAATATTTTCAATCTTTCAGGTTGAATTCACAGATGTAGAACCTGTGGATACATTGGGCTGACTATAATCATGTCAGATGTAAATGGATTAAATCCAGTCAATCAACATAGACAGGATTAAAAACAAAATAAGTTGGTGATATATTGGCTACAAGATACTCTTTAAAGACACATAAGCTGAAAGGAAGTGAATGGAAAATATACTCAAGTGATAACCAAAGGAAAGCAGAAATGTCTGTACATAGACAAAATACTGTTTTAAGTCTAAAGTTCTAGGCACCACAAAAGTTGATAGAATATTATAAAAGGGCCAGTTCAAGCGGAAGATATGATAGTGATATATGTGAGCCTAACATTAGAGAACTTAAAGCTGGTATTGACAGATGTGACATAATTAACAGTAATAAAATAGTTTGGACTTCAGTATTTTACTTAAAGCAAGAGATAACATCTAGACAAAAATTATTAAATGAACAAAACTATAGGCCAAATGGTCCTAACAGACATATATAAAAATTTCCACTCAACAGTAGAATACAAATTCTCAAATGCTAATGGAACATTTTCCAGGATGGACCACATATCACAGAATAAGTCTTAACAAATCTAAGGAGATTTAAATCATTCCAAGAATCTTTTCTGACCACATTGGAATGAAATTGAAAACATCAGCAATACTGGGAAATTAACAAATATTTGGAAACTTAACCGCACTCTTGAAAACTATTTTTTTTTAAACTTTTTGAAAAAAGATCAACAAACAGGCTAAGGGAATAAAGTAATTAGAATGGAAGAGGAGACATTACAACTGATGCCTCAGAAGTAAGAAGAATCATAAAGGACAATTTTGAACAATTATGTGCCAATTACTGGATAACTAGAAAAGTGGATAAATTCCTATAAACATACAACCTATCAAGAGTGAATTACGAAGTGGAAAATCTGAACACACCAATAACAACTAGGAAAAATTAGTAATCAGAAATCTAATAAGAAAAACTCAGTACCAGATAACTTCAAGGGTGAATTCTACCAGAATTTCAAAAGAATATAAATCTTTGTTTAACTCTTCCAAAAAGTATAAGAGGGAACTCATTCTATAAGACCAATGTACTTTAATACCAAAACCAGACACAAACATACTGTCCTGATGTACATAGATATAAAAATAAAATGCTAGCAAACAACACAGTAACGGATCATAAGCCAACACGAAGTTGGGTTTGAGTTTGGGATGTAAAGATGGTCAACATATGCAAATAACACATTAATGAATGAAAAGCACCTGATCATCTTAGATGCAGAAAGGCATTTGATAAAGTTTAACATCTATTTAATTAAAACTTCACCAAACAGGTTTGGAAGGAATATACTTCAATACAATGAAGACCGTATATGAATGCTCCTAGCTAACGTTTGTTAGGGTCTGTAAACAAGTCAAGATGGCGCCTGGCATTTTGCCAGAGGGAGTGGTTTGTGAAGTAACGCCAGGGAGCCATTAAGTGTGGAGATTCCTTATTGGTTGACTGCTGTATCTAGTTTATGTTAATTAAGATAAGCTGTGTGGAATGTATATCTACCCCTCCTGTCCTACAATAAACGGCTCCCATTCCTGCGGTATCAATCAACACAAATTCCTTGTCACACCCCTGTTAGTTTGCCCAGCCAGCCGGTCTGCGGCAGCATTAATGGGAAAAACTGTAGATCATTGCCTCTAATATCTGGAGAAAGCAGTCTACACTTATCACTTCAGCATAACCTTACAGATCTTCTGGAACAATTGGATAAGAAAAAGGAAAGATACTCAAGTCTGAAAGTAAGCAATAAAAATTTTTGTTTTCAATTCACTTGATCATATTGCAGGATATTTTATATATTCAAAACCTGAATTTTTTAAGGCTTAATGATCATACGAAAATCAGTCATGTTTCTGTATACAATGAAACAACCCAAGATGATATTAAGAAAACAATACCATTCACAATAGCAAGCAACAACAAAACCCATAAGGGAAATAAATCTGAACAAAGAAGTGAAAAACTCATACGTGATTATAACATTGATGAAGGAAATTAACAAGGATAAATGGAAAGAAATGTTCATGGATTAGAATAGTGTTAGGATGTAATGTTACTCAAAACAATCTACAGATTTAATGATAATCAAAACCATGGCTCAGTGATAGAGCGCTTGTCTAGCATGCATGAGGCACTGGGTTCTATCCCCAACACCACATAAAAAAACTAAACAAAGGTAAAAACAATTCTAATGGCATTCTTTTAGGAGGGGAGGGAAAAAAAAAAACCCTGAAGTTTATATGGACGCCAATAAGACTCCAAATAGTCAAATTTTGAGTAAGAAGAACAAAGCTGTGGGTATCACATGTGCTGCCACCAAAATATAATGCAAAGCTACAGTAATAAAAGAAATGTTTGCATAAAAGTGTACATACAGACAAGTAGAACAGAGTACCCAGAAATAAGTGGATGTGTTGAATGAAAATTGGTCTTCCACAAGTGTGCCAAGGCAGCAGAGAAAAGGTAGTCTCTTCAATAAATTGTGCTGGGAAAATTAGCCAAATACAGAAAAATGAAGTTGGACACCTATTTCATTCTGTAATCAACTCAAAATGGATTAAAGACTTAAATGAGAGACCTGAAATTATAAAATTGCTGGAGGAAAATAGGAATAAAGCTCTTAACCTTGGTCTGGGTATGACACCAAAAGCATAAACAACAGAAGTGAAAATACACAAAATTTCATCAAACAAAACTTTCTGCACAACAAAATTTTTGTGAAGAAACATTGAAGAAGGAAACAGTGAAGAAGCATCCTATGAAATGGGAAAAATTGCTTGCAAAACATATCAGAAGTTAGTATCTAAAAAAAAATAAATTTACAAGCCCAATAGCAAAAATAAAATAACTCCATTTAAAAAATGGGTAAAGATGTTATTAGTTCTCCAAGAGGATGTATAAGTGACAAACAGGAATATGAAAATGTGTCCAACCTCACAGGGATATTCATTTCAGAAATAATGAAAATGCCATATTACATGTATTAAAGTTGGAAGTATGGTGAGGGTGTGAAGAAAAGGGAACTTTTATTCATTGTTGTTGGGAATACTTATATCTCACACCTGGATTATTTTAGTATCCTATGCAATCTCTGTTTCCTTGCCCTACCTTTACATAGCCCATAGTCCCTACAACTCTTGATTCATCTTTCTAAAATGTA